ATCCACTTACCCATCTAGTGTATTCTAACCAAACCCTTGACTAAACCTTTTCACTCGATTTGGTTAGGCAGGCCGACCGAGTCGAACCGAGGTACTACGTATCTCGTTTTCGTCTTCTATACTCCGTCCAAAACCAGAAAACACCAAAAAATTAGGCAAATCGCCAGTAACTCACCAGAAAACTGATATTCACTCTTATTCTGAAAACCAAAACTCCAACACCTCCAAAACTCAGGCAAAATCCCTCAAAACTTCACGAAATAAAACCCAATCTCCTAAGAACTCAGCAAAAACGAAGGAAAAGAGCAAAACAAAGCAAAAAATAGTGTAAGAAGACAGTATTTACGGTGAATGAATCTAGAATCTGCAAAAAGGAACCACCGTTACTAAAGGAAACTGGAAACCAAGAAAGCAGAAGAGAAAAGGAAAAATCAAAGAAAACTAAAGAAAAATGGATGAAAACAGGAAAGTGGGAGACGAATAATCCACTCCCTCGGTTTTATGGAAGAAATCTAATAGAGGTAGACATGTGGTAGCCCGCAATTGGCCCAAGGACAGAGTGACTCTTCATTTTCCTGACCCAAAACAAAGAACGGATCACCACCGTACACGTGGCAGAGATCCACACCACCTAGGAAATCGTACCAATGCATGAAAACCACGCTGAATCGCCCTTCCTACCTGACTGAGCCAACTCATTGCAGCACGTTGCCTCCCACAACGAAGCCAACACACTTCCATGCTTCACATGTCTAGGAGATTCTCCGAACCGAGGCTACTAGCCTGGAATAGTCTACCCTATTTCCTCGAAATGAGCAAGGCAAGAGAGGGCTTCACTATTCGGTCTTCCCTGGCGGATGAGTGGGTACCTAAGGGTTTGTTAGCACTTGCACAACCCTTGGCCTGGATCAGACAGCTCAGCCCGAGCCTCCATAAGAACATTAGGCCTAGTGTAACCCATTCGGCCCAATGGCACCTAGTAAGGACAGCTTGAAAGGATCACCCGAGTATCCTCCAAGCGGTCAAGCAAGCCGGTCAAGTCGATTTCATCCATTCATTAGGCCTAATACATTAGCAAATGCACCTTTAGTAGGTGAATTGTTTACTCATTTGACCTGGCATACCGATCGAAGACACCTGTGATAGGTAGCCTGTTCATTTCTACACTCGGCCAGACACACCGAGTGGCTACATGTACACCAGATGTTTCGCCTTAAACCCAGTTCGCTCGGCCCTGGACACCGATCGACTACACCTTCTTGAGCTGGTTGCACAATCCGACTCGACGAAGGACACCGAGTGATTCTTGACCACACGCTGTCTCCATCAGATCGATCAGTTGCGTCGGAGACGTAAATAACTTCTAGAGCAATCGTGCCAGCAAACGGTCGACTGCGAAGGACGATCGGAGACGCCTCGCTCGATTCCTACTCTCTAAGTTAAGAATAACTTAACTCAAAGAGTGGGGGGCAAACTGTTAGGGCCAAAAAATATCCTCGACCCAAACAGGATAACGCGTCCGACAATGAGGAAAAGCCTAGGCCCAATCCCGATGCAGCCCAAGCAAGAACTCCCCGGCTAAGGCCCATTCAGTATGAAGTACAATTGGTCCAAACCATCTGAACCCAGGCCTCTTAATCCCAGTACACTTCCTGGGCCTATGGTCGAATTCAGAGCCCACGGTCACCTACGGATCACATTCCTACTCGAACACTGATAACGTAGTCCACTACCATCCCAATTCCTCCAAGGTCCATGTCAGAGTCATACTTGGACTCCCTTTCACGTCAGGATAATGGGGCCAAAGGATATATTTCTGGAGGAAACTGATTACTATGAGAACTCCCAATCCCACCAGGATTGGGAGACTAGACAATCATTATTTAAACAGAGGTCATCCCTCTCACAAGAGAGATTACATTACACCTTCAGACCTCGGAGTTCCCGCTTGAGAACTTCACATTATAGTCATAGTCACAGTCCCCGACTAGACTTTTGGTAACCTCCCTACTTCCTAGCCCTCACTAAATCAGCCTCTTTCAGCCTTGCTAACTTGAACGTCGGAGTGCCTAGGGCAAACACCATCTCGGTGTTTTTAGTCGCTTCACGTTTGTTTCTCTACGTGTACAGGTACAACAGATCGCTAGTGACCTCAACCTCATGGGATTAGTCCCTCTTTCCATACATGTAGATTTTTACATCTATAGTAACAATATTAAAGCTGCTAATTCAAACTCATTTAGTATAAACACCAATAGCTTCATTATGCATAGAGTGAAACTGCTTGAGAGAAGTAGCTACTTCATTTTAATCTAAAGATTCGTGGGTCCATAAAATTATTGTAAGTTTTCATGAGTAACAACCAGCAAGAAATGATATCTTAAAAGTAGCAAATTTATGATGTCTTAACTTGAGTTTTTCTATGTGGGTTTGAGATACTTTGAATCAATGATTAAGAATTGATTTTCTCGTAAATTTGTCTTAAAAATTTGGATTACAATATAGCTTATTTTATACGTATCAAATGACACAATAATTTTTTCAAATAAAGTTATGGTGTAAAGCCAATAAGTTGAAGTGTACGAGAGATATCAGAAACATGGTAGATATGTACATCTAGTAAAGTATTTATGTGTTCTAAAATTTTTATGAGAAGATAAGGATATTATTGAATGGCGATAATAAGATTAACTTTGAAATTCCCAAGACCGATTCAACATTTTACAACTATTTGGTACAAGCAGAATGGATGCACATAGCTTTGATGGTAACCAGGGTAATCATAATGCTAATGATTAGAGATGATAGCCAAGCCGAGCCACTCGCGAGTGGCTCAGGTTGAGCAAAGCTTGAGCCGAACTCAAGCTCGAGCGGCTCGACTTAGCCGACGAGCAGAGTTCAAACACCCAGATACTCGACTTGCCAAGCTCATAAGTTGAGCCAAGCTCGATATATATATATATATAATACAGTAATAAATATATATAATATTATATAATATCTCCCCTTATCTCTTCTCTCTCCAGGGCCAGCCCAAGGGGTAGGCAGGTAAGGTCACCTGCCTAGGGCCCCCCAAAAAAAAGTCCCAAAAATTGGCCCAAAATTATTTTAAGATTTTTTTAAATAGATTTACAGAAATACCATTGGGTCTAAAAAAGTTTATAATTTTTTATCCAAACCGGTCCAAAGGGCCCCAAAAAAGCTGAAAAGGCCCAAATTCATTATAATTTTTTTACACAAATTTACAAAAAAACCATGTTTCATATTTTCCATTCACACCCCTAAATTAACCAAACTAGTTATTTAAATGTTTAAAATTTCAAAACACCCATTCAATCCCTAAAATGATGAAAAAATTGCATTTCCACCCCTCTACATTGCCATAGTGTCGCTGTCGGTGTTAAAGTGATGATTTCGATCAATTTTCTCACTAAAATCGACCGGATTCATCACTTAATCATTTTCAAAATGTTTTCCCAACCTTGACGACCCCGAATTTGGTCGATTTTTGCTGATTTTCGCAACCCATTTTCATTCTTCACCGCGTGCGATAGCAATTTTTGACATGTATCTACTGTCGTTGACCTTCCCCGACACCACCATCATCGTCCCCTCAACCCCCTCCCCAAAAGCCCTCACTTACCTGACCCCGGTAACCCGCTGTCCACCTCTCACGCTTACAAGAAAGATTAGGTAATTTGGCTATATTATCAATTGAAAAAGATTTGGTTTCTAAACTTGAATATAAAAATTTTATTTTTTTTTTTTTTTTTTTAAATGTTATTAAAATAAATTTGAATAATTTTTTAATATATGCTTATATTATTAAAAGGGCCCTAAAGTAACTCTTGTCTAGGGTCACAAATGTTCTTGAGACGCCTTATCTCTCTCTTCTCCTTTCTCTTCTTCATCCCGTCTCTTCTTCTTCTTCCTCTTTTTTCTTTTTCCTTTTTTTCCAGTTTTCTTTCTTTCATTGTCTTCATTTCTTTTTTCTCCTCTTCTTTACTTTCTTTTCTATTTTCTCTCCCCTCATTCTTTCTTCTCTCATTTTTCTCTCTTTCATTTTTTTTTTCTTTTTACCATGGTTGCTATGGTTGATTGAGGCCGTAAAGACGGCCAAATACAGATGGCCATGTGGGCTATGATGCCGGCCAGATCTTGTTGACTATGTAGCCCATGTGGTTGGCTAGATCTAGCTACTCACATAGGCCATGCTGACAGCTAGATCTGGGTGAGTTTTGAGTGGATTTTAGAATGGCTTTTAAGGTGGTGGGAGATGTTTGATGGTGGCTGGGAGATGGTTGGCTTTTGTTGTTGTGTTGTTATTGTTTTGTATTATATTCATTGTTGTTTTGGAGAGATTCTTGACTATGTTTGAGTGAATTCTTGGTCATGTCTTACAAGATTGCGTTGAATCAAAAGTTGGATAGAGCTCGGAATTGTAATTTTCATCAGATACACGAGTAGTTCACGAGTTCGAGCTAGCTTGAGCTCAATTAAATGAGCTCGAAACATACTGAAGAAACCTTTCTATTTCACTGGAATTGTAATTTAATTTGTTTAATTTGAATACTTTTGTTGATTTGAATCTGGACTTTGAACTTTCTTGAAGTTAATTTGAACAATCTTGAAACACTTCATTATGATACATACATATTTGGTGAAAGCTTAATTTAAAAATGATTAGATCTGCTTCCTTTATTAATTGAAAAATAATAATCAAAATAGTAATTCAGATGATTATTAATTATAACAGAAATGATTTATAATCCTCTTCTTATCCGAGCATTTGAAAAAAATCTTATGATACTTATATGTCAATTATTATATGTGATTGAGATTTGTATTTAATAACTTCCTCTCCTGCTGTGGAAATTTAAAGAAAAATAAATTTGTATTACAATCCGCTTTGACAATAAGATAAGATAAACATTATTTCCCATAAGAGAAGCGTCGACGTATATATATATATATATGGACAATTTCTGGTGATGCCCTGACACAATCTGCCTGCTTCGGAGAAATATTCATACTCCAACACAGGCGGCGTTGAGTATGGCAATAAATATGCCGACGTGTGTATAGTTTTGGTGTCCTAACCGGGCTCAACGTCGGTGTAGCCAACTTTTCCACTGGCAAGAACACAATTATAAATAACTACACTTGACTCAGTATGTTGAGAAGCACAAACACTACATATAGCTAGAAATATGAATAACTGCGTTCTTCAACTCTTACTTTTCATCATAATAAACAAAACTGTCAAAATCAATAATATTAGGCCCTGATTCTAAGGCATTTATATCCAAGGGCAACGTAGTGTCATCCATATACAATGGCGCCTCCACTGCTGAATGTTTATACTTGAATGTTGTAATATGAGAAGAAAGCTCCAATATCTTGTCATCAACCTCGAGACCTTCACAATAACTAACGTTTAAATATACAAGTTCTTTGCAACCTTGTAATATTGTAACTAGATTTTCATTGTCAATGGATACTTCTGTCAGATGCAAGTACTTAATCTTCGGAAGTAAAGTGACAATGGCTGATGCATCCTCGTTTCCAATGATTGCTTCAAAAGACCGACACTCATCCAAGTCTATAAAAACACTTGAAGATCCAAGGATTAAGCCTTTCAAATTTTTCCACTTTGTTATCGATTCTGGAATGATGGATAATTGCTGCCTGAAAACACCACAGGGCAAACCCAAAATTTCCAAGCCTGGACACCTGAAAACAATAGTTATTATATTACAACTGATGGGTTCAATTATAAATTTGGAGAGAACAAAACTAAATTTCATGCATTTTGGTTTAACTTACTCATCTGCAGCATGCTTTAATGCCTCTTCAGTACAATAAGTGGGGAACACAAGCTTGGTGGCATTTCTGCAGCTTCGATCAACTATGAACTTTATGAATGCAGTGCCAGATAATTCTTCGATTTCATATTGATCTCTATATCTCCTAATGATGTTTTTGTTTGACCATGAATCAAATGCAAAAGGAAAAGAAAGAAATTTCCAACACAAAGGATTAAGGCTTGCTTTGTGCCATGATTTGCATACAAAAGGAACATCTAATAACAGTGACTCTATGCCAACTCTTCCAAGCACATTCACTAAACAGTCCATTTCTAGATCCTCCCACTTTCGTTCTCCCATTTGATCTGTATGTATGTACATAACAATTGTTATAATTTCTATACACATACACTAAAATTCCGAGAAATTTAAGGTTTACTGTCGACGAAAAACATTGAGTTTTCAGAGCAACAAATATAACTATAGCCGTCATGATCTCCAGCTAATTTTGATACCAAAATCATTATAACCAGTCTTAAATCAAGCTAGATCCGAGAAAGGTTTAATAGACAGAAATTTATAAAATTCCTTTAGGCTGATTAACGATTAATATATCAAAATTCACTAAGGCTCATTCGAGTATTGGAGAAAATAATAAAACTTTCCAATAAACTAATTACTTATAAACTGCAGTGAAATTAACAAAAATATTTAAAAAAAAATCAAATTATTTCAAGTGCATGTTCCATGATCATAAACCAAAATTAAGATCAATCACTTAATTAAAAATATTATTCAAACTAGACCAGAAGTTGAACTAAGACAAATTTATAGCTGGCTAGTGAAGAAATAACGTAGCAGAAAGTAACAAAGGAGATCTAGGGACAAGAAGAAAGAACAAATTTGTCACCTGATAATCCAGCAACCTATCGATCGAGATTCAGAATGATAAAGAAATCCTTTAAAAAAAACAAGTCGAAGGAGATGGTTGTAATTAAATAATAAAAGTAGAAATCAGTTTCAACTTTAGTTAAAAGCAAAAAATGCTTCTCTTTATAAAAATTACTTTTAGACTTTACGTACATGTAGTGTTTTTCCAACTCACTAAATAAATCCCAACACCCACATAATTTACTTTCATCTCTACCTCCTTCAAGTTCCAGTTCCAGATGGTAAAATTGCCAATATGCTGATCTTTTTTCTTTCTTTGTTTAATTTTAAAGATTTAATTACTGGTTCATCAAGATGTAATTGTCAATTTAATATCCAAATTAATATATGATAGTTAATGATGTGATAAATTTTTATAGTGATTTAATTAAGAACAAGTTTTTCTACTTATGATCAATTGTACTTGCCACGGAAGAATTCGGATCATGCCCTTTATCTGAGCTTTTCTTAAATTTAATTTCTTTATGAGACATATATTATTTGGTGAAAGCTTAATTTAAAAATTAATATATCTGCTTCCTATTCTTTATTAATTGAAAAACAATAAACAAAATAGTAATACATATGATTATTGGGGACAAAATTAACCTAAGCCCAAATAGCGCAAGTCCAATATAAAGCCCACGTTAAGCTCATTAGGGAAGCCTAAAGATGGTTAACATTAAGCCCAATGGTCCAGATTAAGTAGATTGGGTCAATAACAGCCTAGGCCCGAGATTTCTGTTTAAAGGCAGGAGGCCCAAACATACGCTACAGTACAGTAGGTTGCCAAGTAGTACCACACGTGGCCCAATGAGAAGAATATTAAACGTGTTTGTAATGCTAAGCTTTTCGAAGAGGAAAAGCTATCAAATTAGTGGCAGTTAAGACCCTTTATAGTGTTATGACATGCCATTTGAGACTAATATTGTTTAAAGAAATATCAATACTTAGATATGCTAGGAGTGCTCACTGGCTAGAATATTAAAGTCAGATGCAATACAACGATACTTTAGCTAACTCCCAAGATCTATTAAACACTTTATAAGTTTAAAAGATTAAGTAAACCACAATATTATTGTAATCGATGACATCAAAGTTTAAACTTAGAAATTGAAGGAATAGTAAATCTCCTTAACTGTTAATCGTCAACTAACCCAGTTAGTACATTCATGATACCTTTAAAAAATAAAAATGCATTTTCTGATCATACATAAACAATGTGCATGCTAAATTCATTTTGATTTTTTTACATTCTTTTTACATGAGTTACATTCAAATACGATTGAATTCATTAAATTTTATTACTTTATTCAGTTAGTATCATTCTGATACCTTTAATCCCCATACATCAACTCAAACTTATAAAGTAATATGGACTAAAACTCTCTAGATCATGCATTTAAATCTTTGTGTGTATGGAAAAAAAAAAAAAAAAAAATCCTTCTCTCTTTGCACTTTTTTATTTTTATAAAACGTGACGTAATTTTTTAAGCTTCTTCATAAATGTTTTATCGTTTTGGTGTATTAAGGAAACTAAATCATTATTATGAAAAAACTAAAGAACACTTTATTGTTTAAAGGGTAAAAAAGGTGGTCATGAAAAGAGTTTGGAGCTCACATTGATATGGCATGATAATCCACTACCGTTATGAAAACAGATTTGAGGGTAACATTAAATCTAGCACGTTGCTCAACATTATAGTTTTCACTGATATTATGCAATTTTCATATTATATTATTTGTGTAAACGGAGATTTGGATTTAGTGTTTTGGTGTAAGTTCTATAGTTGTTTGGCCTTTGTTGTAAAGGATTGTACATCCTTGTGAATCGGTAAGGAACGAGAAGGAGGCAAGAAACAGTTCAAGACAATGATATTGCCAAAGTGTGCCAAAGAGAGAAGCATATATTGTGTTGTAGCCCTGTACAATGACTAATTTATACAAGTTTTGTAAATGTAGAATAGAATAATAATACAAATCCCTGTAATTATTCAATTAATCACATAAATTAAGGTGATTGATTGAAGCCTTAATCATTCATTGATCTCAACTAGTAGAGATCAAGGGAAAGCTATATAAGATGCATTCCATATTTCGTCACTCCCCCTCAAGCTTGTGATTTGTAGATATCAAAAACTTTAGGCTTGCTAAGTAGATATGAATGCTATCTACTGTTAATGGCTTTGTGAAGATATTTGCTGTTGTTTAAAGTATGAATGTCAAAGTCTTAATTACTCCTTCTTGTATTTTGCTCCTGATAAAGGGCAATCAATTTTTATATATTTCATTCTTCATGGAATAATGGATTTGCTGTTATATTGTTTGCAACCTTGTTGTCACAATATAAAGAACAAGTTTTCTTACTTATACTTCTAGATCTTCTAATAACCCCAAAACCAGATGATCTCACATGTTGTCTTTGCCATGGCTCTGTATTCGATTCTGCTGAAGAAAGGTATACTATTGATTGTTTCTTTGTTTTCTAAGAAATAAGAGGTCCCCGTACTTGATACAAAAACCTGTAGTGATTTCTTCGTTATCGGACATGTGGCCTTGTCTGAGTCCAGTGAGCTGTGATATCCAAACCTGTTCCTCGAGGAAGAGACTCCTAAACCAAGGCAACCTTCTAAGTATTTCAGAACCTTTATCGTTGCATCCATGTCATATCGTTTAGGTCTATGCATGAACTGATAAGAATGTGAATTACACAACTGGTGTCTGACGAGTCATGGTGAGGTAGATCAATCCCCACAAGTCTTTGATAGTTTGAGGGGTCTTCAGAGGTGGATAATCTTCAGAGGACGATATCCCATTGTCATGTTCTTGATAGTCATTTGGTGTTTTGTTCTATTGGAATAATACTTGGCTTGCATCCTAATTGCCTGAATCAAAATGAGTTCCAAGACATATTTCTGTTCATTGAGAGATATTCTTATCGGGGATCTTATAATTTCAATGCACAAGAAATATTTTGGCTCTCTAGATTTTTTTCGAAAGTTGTTTGTGAGATGCTCTTTCAGATTTGGTGTCTACTTCATCATTTCCTATAATAGAATGTCATCGTGTCATGATTAGAGCAATGAAAGTTTTACTTTGTGCTAGGTAAACAATGCATAGTCATGTTTGGACAAACAAATCTTATGCCAGTGGGAGCTTAGCTGAATTTCACATTCCATTGTCAAGATACTTGTTTTAGTTCCATATGGGGATTTTCATAGTGACATATTGTTCTTCCCCTGTCTACGAATTCTGGGAAGAAAGTTCCTCATGAAGTCACCATGAGAAAGGCATTATGAACATCCATTTGATGGAGAGGCCAATCACGACAAAGCCACTATAAGGAAAGCATGACAGAACCATTGTAAGAAAACACAAACATGCATGTATGGCTATAGGTAGAAAGTCTCCTGATAATCAAATCCTTCACGTTGAGTGAATCTCTTGGCTACCAATCGGGCTTTGTAATGTTAATGGAGCCATCACCACGATGCTTGATTTTGTAGACCCATTTGCAACCAATGGTTTTTTCTGAGAGGGACAAGGCATTGATCCCAGTATGGTTATGAGTCAAAGCATAAGTTCATCAGCCATTGCTTGACACAAGTGAATGTTGAATAGCATATGGTAACTAGTGGGTTCTCGATCGCCGGAGATGTACTGATACAGCTTTGTGTATAGGAGAGAGAAATCATACCTCACATAATTGGAGATAGATATAGTGTACCTAAAGAATAGAAATGGTGGGACACTCATAGTCTATTGTCCAAATCGGTGGTTGAGTCTGCCGAGTATTGTGGCTTGTAGGAATAATTGGAACTGGATCGGGAATCTTGGTGCGGAAATAATATGGGGATCTATAAGTATTCTGCTGGAGGATCATCAATAGATTTGTGTTAAATTATAGAGTGTTGGTTGAGAAATTAAATGAGCAAGTTTCAAGTGAAAAAAGGATCTTAGAGCTCAGCTTCAAGAAATAGCTTGGGTGATGAGATGAAGTAGTATCTTTGGTGGCAAATGGAAATATGTCTTCATGAACACAATATCTTTTGGAGATCAAGAACTTGTCTTCAACAATCATACAACATGTAACCCTTCTAGAGGATGGCTCCTATAAAAATACAATGGTGGCCCAGGTGCCAAACTTGTCATGTGAGCCATGTGGCAGCAAAACAAAGACAGCCTAATACTCAATGTGTCAAGAGTTGGCTGTCTCTTGAATAATACCTCATAAGTCTTTTATGAAGAACTTTGGTTGCATGCGATTGATTAGGTATGTGGCTGTGATCACATTTCACCCTAAAAGAATGCGTATATGGCTTGGTATCTAAGGGCAGAGCTACTTCTAGGAGATGACAGTGTTTTCTTTCGACAATCCCATTTTGTTGTGGAGTATATATGCAAGAACTTTCATGCATGTGCCAAGTTGAAAAAAAAGATTTACAACTATGATTAAAAAATCTTTCACATTGTCGATTCTAACCCTTTGGACGGAAGTAAGAAATTGGGTGGTGACCATGGATAAAAAGTTTTTATGTAGGTAAATGTTTGGTTTTGGAT